AACCGCTACTTGCTACATTTCAACTCGTTCCATTCCATGACTCAATGGACCGCCGCTATCCGTCTTGCTATGTACGAGCATACCTCACTTTATGAAGCTTACACAGGATCTCTTATTGCTGCCAAAGGCAAAACGCTGCCTGGAATCCAGGGTATTCTGGCTCCATCCAAGTTTCGCCATGAAGATTGGGCTCGCGTCAGATTTGGTGCAGGAACACCCTGGAGGCGATGCTGGTTTGTTATCAACCCACCCGACGAGAAGGAGATCCAAAAGGCTCGCAAGGCGATGAAGAAATCCGCCTACGATCGACTTTCAATTCCCATAACCGGTAGCATCAGCTTTTACGAGACGAAGAAGACCAAAAAGGTCACGCCGATAGCGACAGTCACTCATGTATACTCGGCGTATGCAATTTACCCCCAATCCAAGGCTCTGATTGATCAATCCACTTTGGTGAAAATGGAAGGCTTGGTGACTCTACATGCAGAGCGCCAAACTGCCGAGGGAATGGTCTTTATCATGCCCGAGCTGCATGCCGCGGTGTCTGGGCTCGAAATGATGCTCCGGTTCCTCTTCCCGACATTTGACACATTCAATCTCTATGGACGTCCAACTCGCCTCGTGGCCGACACAAACCATATCAAGAGCATCATGTTCGCATTCCCCAAGGAACGTCGGTACGGTTATTTGGATGTTCTGGATATCGTGAATCTCCTGCAAATTCCAGGAAGCTTGAGTTGGAATGAAGCCCAGTGGAGGAAACAGCTGAAGGAAGCAACTCAAAGTCGAATGTCTACGGGCCGAAGCAGAACCAACAGCGTCAATAGCACCCGCCCTCGTTACCGTGCCAGCATTTCCGCTCGGACTAGTGATACGCCAACCGATTCATCTCGTCCCCCCTTTCAATCTCCCGAATCCAAGCCCGAATTCAATCATTCAACAGATGCCGTCATTCAAAACCCTCCCAAGATCGGTGAGCCCCTGGGATACCATTCGCGTGGAATGTCGGATATTACTGGATTCCAAACCCAGCGGAGGCCTGGCCATGACTCCATGGTGGATAGTTCCCCCGACTCGTCTGCCCAAGACCTAGTCCAGCGCGACAGAGCCCAGGCTCTTGCAGGGCCTATTACGGAGCATACTAGTTTTGAAGGCGAAAGGCATCCCGAGGCAAGGCACGGGAACCGGTTCGCGGAGCGTGCGCCGCGCACGCCACCATCTCCTGTGACCACCCCACCGGACTTTTCTCATGGCCCAAGATCTATGCCTACAAACCGCCCGGAGGCAACATACGCGCAGACTCGAGAGAACAACAGAATGTCTTATGCTACTCTCTCTCAGTTGACCTCTGTTGGGGCAATGTCAACTGTGGGGGGAGTTGCCGCGGCGCTACGTAACCAAGACTCGGATTCCAGTATTGGCACCAAACGACAAGCCCAGGCCACCAGCCATCCGCTCCCTGAGCCGCCTTTCCAATCTGAAAATACTCGTCTTGCACACTACTCTAGTGATGAAGGTCTTGGTCTCGCGCTTCCAGTTCGTCAGCCCCAGGTTGCAGAACAACCCCGGCATATGGAGCAACGACCGGCGACAGCTGGCTCTGACAGTACATCGTCACCTCAGCATAATCCGCAGATTGATGCAGCCAAGTCAGTAAGGCGCAAGCCCCTCCCGCAACGGCAAGTATTTGGTGCGCCACGCTCTTCTCAGGATCCAGGAGAGCCAAGCTTTGATGACCTTCGCCATACATTAGACGAAGATGCATTGAATCGAATTGCACCTCACCTTCCCTCGCCAATCTCTCCGACCTTTACCCAGGAGGAAAGTGTGTATGATGATGCATCCGCCGTTTCACCTGATTACGCAAGTACCCATGAGTCTGTTTATAGTAAGAAGTCAGCGAAGTCGACCAAGCCCCGAATGGGTGTCATGAAGACCGTGGGACAGCCCACCAAGCAAGATCTTGTCATCGGAGATGCTCACTATACACCCGACAAGCCTTCAGAGCCCAGCTTTAATATCCCAACAGTGGATTTCGGGCCAACAATGACCTATATGCCTACGACCGGACGACCTAACACTGGCGACACTCTGAGAAAAGCTTCCAACCAGACAGATGCCGAGCGATACCGAATTAATGTTCCCACTAATCCAATGGGACATGAACGGTCTCCCAGCCAGGAAGATCACCGCCGACGAAGTGTCCTATGGCAGCCTGGAATGGCATCTGGCCGGCCTACAACTCCCGGTGGGGGTCTTACACCCGAGCAGTTTGTGAACCAGCGAGCTGCAGCAGCACCTAGCCCCCCCGCTGCATGCTCACCATCGTTCTGGGTCTAACAGTAACACACCGCCGCTACAGCGCCCCGTCTCTGGAGATTGGACCCAACAAGCTCGGCCCAACTCGCGTATGACATCTTACCAGGACCCCAACTACCGCCCCTCCTCGCACGGTGCAAGCACAATGATGGGCTATGGTGATGTCGCAAACCACCTTTCGGCTCGCGAGCAGGAGCACGTTGCACGCATGACAGGCTCTTCGTTCTTCGACATGTCAAGCAATAATCAAAAGCCTCAACCATCTGCCGGTGGGGGTCTAGTCTCGTCGATTGATGCTCGTGAGCGTGAGAAGCGTGCCATGAAGGAGGGCATGTCAAATCACATGGTTCAGCATGCGATCGCCCACCGCAACCAGCAAATGATGCAGCAGCCACCTCAGCAGCAGCAGCAGCAATTCACCCCTCAGCAATATGCGTCCCAGTACGCAGGGTCTCTCTATCACCCCCAGGCCCAAGCCCCTGTCCACCAGGGGGGTATGTACAACATGCCTGCGGCTAGTCAGACATGGGATGCCCTTCAACAAGTAAACCAGTCTAGCGAACCCCGCCGCCAGTCTTGGTACGGACAGCTCAGCCAAGCGCCGCCGACACCACCTAGCTATCAACAGAGCCAGAACTACGTTCAGCAGGGCGGCAACTACTACAGCGGGGTCAACACCATGCATCATTAAAGCATGAGAATCTTCTTTGCTCGATCACTGCTTTTTTTTATTTTATATTTCCTTGGCTTGCGCCGCCACTTCCGTTTTATCTGTCTCCTTTCTCACCTTGCATTGCTACCGGACTAGACCTAGATTTCCGCGTCTCCGGCTGACCACCGTCCTTTTCTTCGAGCTCCGTTATTTCCTTTCCATCTGCACCCCGTATTATTGCATCACTCCCTCGGATCTGTTTTCTTTTCTTTTTTTATTGCTCATCCATCCTTCATTACCTTTCATTGCACTGCGCATCAGAACGGAGTTGCAAATCGGTCTGGCATCCTGCGATGGCGTCCTCTGAATTTTGTTCATCATCACTACTTCTTGGGAACTGCTTTTATTCCTTATTCTCTTTTCATGTCTAGCTCGATGCTCACTTTTTTTCCTCTGTCCTTTTTTTTTATGTAGATTCTTCCTTTTACTTTGAATATACTATGTACAGAAATTGCGCGACTACAGATACTGTCTACAGGCATACTTGTGCCATGTTTTTCTTCCAGAATTGGGTTTTTAATATTCGTAGGAGTAGTTCTGGTACTCTTTAAATTTTGCTGTTCCCCCTTGGTGAATGACTACGCAAGGGGCGTGATTGGGGGTTCTTACCCCGCGCTCGACTTTCTCGATTTGGCACCATCAACTCTCAACAATGGCGTCACGGGTCAAGACAGGGGTTTTTCAAACACTCGAGACAGTCTCCGACACGAACATCATCATCCGAGACGAAATATACGGCGAGCATAGCATCACCGAACCTGTGCTTCTACATCTACTCCGAAGCCCCGAGCTATCACGCCTCAAAGGTATCTGTCAACACGGAGTCACTACATTCCTCGGCTTCGGCCCCAAAGTCACCCGCTTCGAGCACTCAGTCGGTGCATTTCTACTAGTACGCGCAGTCGGAGCCAGTGTCGAAGAGCAGATTGCCGCTCTGCTCCATGATATCAGTCACACCAGTCTCAGCCATGTCGTTGATGACGCACTATCCCAACCCGGAGAAGGAAGCTACCACGAAGTCCACAAATCCCGATTCTTAAAAACCACCCAATTACCTCAGATCCTGACACAATACGGCTTCGGGAATCTCAAGCCCCTCGACGAAGAACTATTCCGCCTCGTTGAAATGCCATCACCGCACCTCTGCGCTGATCGACTCGACTACGCGCTCCGCGACGCACTAGCCTTCGAAAAACTTACTCTCGACCAAGTACGAGAAATATACCAATCTCTCAAAGCATTCCCATCCGCCTCCTCTCCTACCCGCATCCTTGTTCTCGAGAACGAAAAACACGCACTAGTCCTCGCTCGCGCATACCAAGCCACAGACAGAGATGTATGGTCCAATCGAGCCCAGGCAAATCTGTATAGAAGAACCGGGTCGATAATTAGGGAACTGGTTTATTCGGGCCGTGTGAAGGAAGAGGAACTCTGGAATTTATCCGATGAAGATTTCTGGGCATTGTTGCGTCGACAGGCGACACCTGAGATTCTTGTTGAAATGGATAAGATGGAAACTCAAGGTCTTCCGAATGAGGAGGAGTTGCGTTTACCTCGTGATGCTAAGATACGAACCATCGATCCGGATGTTTTCCAGAGTTCGCAGAAGGATCCTTTGCCTTTGTCGGTTGTTCTTCCGGAATGGGGTGTTGAGCGACGGGAATACATTCTTAGTAGGGAGTCCACGCGAGAATAGAACTTTGGAGGTTTGTGCGAAGATACTAGATACGGAATAGAAAAGAGCAAGATTAATCACTGGCAATCAAATATGTACTGTTTTCCTATCAAGGTAAATACAGTTAGTTCAAATTAATTGGCCATTGGACATCACTATAGATTCTGGGAGCTAACACTAATGGTACTACCTAATTTCTGCAGAGTTTCTACGATTCATACTGGCTTTATAAAGCGAAAACATGTATATATTCTAGAGTCTGCCTCGATAATATATTGCATTCATTGGCTTTGGCTAATCGAACACAAGTGCGGCTTTAATCACCGACTTATTCTTCATTGCGTCAAGGCAGTCCTGCCATTCTTCCAGTTTAAATGTCTTGTTCACAATTCCACTAACATGAATCCGCTTTCCATCTGCTCAATTATTCTTTCTTAGTTGACCAGTCTTGAAGTGACAGGAAAATACTGACCAAGATAGTTGATAGCAGCTGGAAACTTATAGGTTTGACTGAAAGACCCTATCAAATTTATCTCCTCTTTGAAAATCTTGTTCGGTGGTAGAGAAACGCGATCATCTTCACCATAAACACCGTATACCACCAACTTACCACCTTTTGTCACAAATTTGATGGCATTTTCCAGAATTTTCGCGTTACCTGTAGCTTCAACGACAATGTCGAAACCATACGGATTCTTGCTTCGAAGTTCCTCCATCTTAGTAGCCGCTGCTTGTGCATCGCGGGGGAGCTCGACAAATTCATCGGCCGCGTTAAGAGACCTAGCAAGCTCCATCTTCAACCCAGCCGGTGCAGCAATAACAGTATGACACCCACCATTTTGACGAAGAAGCTGAGCCAGGATAAGTCCCGTCGGGCCCGCGCCAAACAAAAGCACGCTGGAACCCATTTGAGGAGCAATCTTATCCAGTCCGTGAGCCGCACAGGCAGCGGGCTCTAACAATGTCGCATCCACATCCGAGAGGTTTTTGAATTTGAACACACGGTTTGCCGGGTACGAAGCATATTCCGCGAATCCTCCATCAACCATAACGCCATGGGCGATAAAATTCTCGCAGAAAAGTTCCTTGCCTCGACGGCAGTAATGACAGTGTCCGCATAACTCGGAGTTGTCTGCCACTACACGATCTCCAATGTTGAAATCTTGAACCTTGCTGCCAAATGCTGCAACTACACCGACGGTCTCGTGGCCGGGGACAAGCGGAAACTGGGGTCTATTGTCAGCAAGCTCTCTATGAAACCCGGAGACTGGTTTACCTGGGCTCCAAATTCACCATCGTGAATATGAAGGTCTGTACCACAGATTCCGGAGGCCTTTACTTTGATCTATCTAGCTGTTAGATGCTAAAATGTTAGGCGTTTTGTTGCGACGTACTAGAACATCATGCTCGCGAATTGTCGGAAGACTCTTCTCAACGATGCTGAACTTTCGAGCTTCACTATACTCTATAAAGACATGCGTTTCTATTAGTTTAATGCTTCTCTGAAAATTTTGAGGTCAAATATTCACAAACCCAAAGCTCGCATGGAAGGTGGAAGATCAAAGTGATTCGATCCGTTCATGGTCGATTCAACTAACTCCGAATTACTTGAGTAGAGGAGAGGTCAAGATAAAAAGGTATGACATAAGAAGTACTCAAGCCATTCGATAAATACTTGTCTTAAACTCGGACCACTCATGTGCATGACATCTCAAATATATGGAGTTGTCGGAATAAATCCAAACGGGAAATGATGGACGTATTCCCCGAGACGGTGACACCGAGACGGGGATTAGTTGGGAATTGTGGAGACAGAACCCCGCATTATATCTCGGACCTGGTTAGTAAACAAACCGACTACTCCGTGCCAGTAAGAACTGTGCAGATGTGCATATCATCCCCCCCCCCGAGGTGGCCTCATTCCCCTGCAGTACACCCAGGGTGAGTGAGAGCACAGAAAACAGGTATAACCTGTCCGAATTAATCTATAGTTTTGTCTTATTGGCGACCTCACGCAGCCAGGAGGGGCACAAAGAGCGTAGTTTGGCCAGAACGAGTCACGTGTGGTCGTAGCCCTCTCCGCCAACAGCCTAATCTACGCTTCATATCTACGCTTCGCCCTTCACTTAACCATGTCCTCCACCGACCCGCCTGCCGTGCGCCGCGATTTCGCAGAAAAAACCCATGCTACGAGCTATCCCTTCATTTCGCCATTGGCACAGGACCTTTCTGGACGGCATGTGCTTATCACTGGCGCGGCCTGGGAGGACGGCGTGGGCTATGCCACTGCCACTGCCTTTGCTCGTGCTGGAGCATCCTCAATCGCTGTCATAGACCTACAAGGCGTCTCTGATGAACTTGTCTCTCGACTAAAGGCTGCGGCTGTAGAGGCAGGGCGGCCAGAATGTCAGGTAGTAAGCGGTCGTGTTGACATTTCTCAGTGGGAAAGCGTTGCGGCTTTCAAGGAAATCATCACGGAGGCCTTCGGATATCGGTTGGATGTACTCGTCAACAACGCAGCGCATCAAGAGCCTTACAGTTCCATCCTAGACGCAGACCCAGATGTGTACTGGAAGACTTGGGAAGTCAACGTCCATGGCCTATTCAACATGACGCGCGCGTTTCTACCCATGCTAATTGACACGCGCGCAAAACACGACGGCCTAGGCATCATGATCAATGTAGCCTCCTCCGGTGCTCTTAGCGTGCGAAAAGGCGGCGCAAGCTATCGAACTTCCAAGCTTGCAGTACTTCGATGGACAGAGGCGCTGAACCTAGAACATAGCGATGACGGTTTACTTGCTTTCTGCGTCAATCCCGGAGCAATCAAGACCCATTTGACGATTAACGAGCCTGAAAAGGTGCGTAACATGCTGCCACATAAGCCAGAAATCGCAGGAGATACCATTGCCTGGCTTGCTGCGGAACGACGAGAGTGGATGGGTGGAAGATATATTAGCTGTCCATGGGATATGGAAGAGCTCATTGATAGGAAGGATGAAATAGTGAAAGGGAACAAGCTTAAGCTCAGTATGGATTTTTAAGTCTTGAGCCTGACAAACTTTGGATTTGAGGTATACGACGCCTTTCAAAGTTTATCATGTCTTCCAAGATTTCCGGATGCCCATGAAAGCTGGAATCGGCCATAGTCCCTTTTAGGCTGCGGGTTGTGCAGTGATCCCCTACCCGCAACCCGGAATTTGCACTTTCATACCCGTACCCGTAGGGGTACGAACGTGCTGCATATTAGAATATCCAAAAGACTACAGAAATGACTCTGTACAAATGATAGCAAGTAGAAGATGTATTCCAATCTCCGAATGCATACATATGAAGATATTGTGTTCATTGTCTCAATTTATCGCTATCCCTCGTGCAGATCCTAGCCGAAAAATTTGAGAATCAAAGGACTTTGATTTCAAACCTCAACCTTCTCAGTGATTTCCAAATGCTCCGCTGGCTCTTCTTTTTCCCGGATGATATGTTCATCTCGGGCTTCATATTTCTTGGGCCGTTTGCTAGAGATTGCTTCCTTGTCAAGACATGCGAAAAGAGGAGGATTGCTCCGATAGTAGTCGTCCATATCCTCCAAAGTGCGACCAGCTGTCTCCGGATAAAAGACGTAGATCACAGGTATCATAGCTGCGTTCAGGGCAATCCAAACAATGTAAAAACGCCAGCCTAGATTCTCAATGCCGATTGGGGTAATTTCGACAACCATAAAATTGAAAATCCAGTTAGTAGCAGCTCCAAGGGCGGCACCTTTCGTCCGCATCGTGAGTGAATTGATTTCAGTTGGGTATACTATATCATTGATAAGTATAGGAGTTCAGGTAGATGAAGCTCGATTTGGAGATGAGAGATGAAACTTACACCATGGCACTCCTTGCATGCCAATTCCAAAAAAGACATAATACAAAAAGAAAAAGGCCACGGAGGCTGAAGCCACCTCCTCCCGGTGAGCATACCCAGGCATTTCGTTGTACCGGATAAGAGCCGTGATGAAGATATAGCAAAAACACATTCCCGCTGCACCAAACATCAAAAGCATTCGACGTCCCCATCGCTCCACGTTGGGAATTCCGATCATAGAGAAGAGAAGGTACTGAACGCTGTTGCAGGCTGTAAGTAGCCTTGCTAGCGATTCGTCTAGTCCCACAGACTTTGTCAGTACCGTTGGCAGATAATAAGAGGTGACATTAATTCCTGAGAATTGCTGCATTGCCTGGGCACCCATTCCAAGAATAAGTCGGCGAACTGTCTTTGTGCCCGCCTTCTCATGCGCTCGCCCGCGTAGAATATCACCGAAGCTAACACTGTTTGCTTTCTCATAGTCCACACTGTATTGAATCTGGCTCATCTGAAGCTGAACAAAAGGATCGCTGCTGTCCTTGTCTTCGAGATCAGCAATAATCTGCAAAGCATCATCTGGGTGCCCATGGGCAACAAGCCATCTATTGCAGAATCAGTATCAAAACATTCAAGAGGGGCGGAAACATCCCGATACCTAGGAGACTCGGGCAGCCACGGCACTGTGCAAAATAAGATAATATTGAAGATGAGTTGAAATGAGAGAGGGAATCGCCACGAGACTGGCCCACTTGCGAACGAAAGGCCGTAATTAAGCCAATTGGCAAGCGAAAAGCCCACAAGTACTAAGACATTCTCTAAAATAACCAATTTGCCTCGTAGTTGGACTTTTGAAGTTTCGACTTGCCAAATGGGTGCAGTCGATGTATTGAGACCTGCAGAAAAAGAAGGCACGTCAATTTTTAGTATTCCAGGAACCTTCTGCGCTTCTACGTACCGTTACCAATTCCTGCAATGATACGGCCAGCCATCATATGACCTAGGCTGTAGGAGGAGGCCTGCAAAATAGCGCCAATTGTCATGATGGTAGTGCCCACCAAGACCGTGTTTCTGCGGCCTAGTCGTTCTCCAAGCCAGTAGGCGGACAAAGATCCCAGAAAGCAACCGACATCATAAATGGCTGCGACCGTTCCCACCAAGGACGCTTTTGAAGACTCTGCAAGACCATGTAGCTGAAGAAAGTCTTGCGAGATCACGACTCCACTGAAGACTCCCTGAAGTAGAATTTAAGCCCGGCACAATGTATGGCCTCCTCTCTCTTGGGACGTACTTGATCATATCCATAGAGAGTCATGTCAGCACCGCAGGCCAACGTGATCCAGAACGTCAGCCATCCGCCCCGAAGGCCGAAATATGGTTTTGCAGATTTGAACATTTTATGGCAGGATAAAAGTCAGCCGAATGTTTCATAGTTTCCTCACATCGCCGAGACCATGACAGCTATTTATTTTCCCACCCTCTACGTTATGCGGTGGGGGATAAAATCCGGGGTGACGCTATTCTCCACTTCCCTAGCACAATGGCATGAGCCACGAGACGGGCTGTTCATACCCGTGGACTGGATGGTTGTAAACAATTTCCGTTCACCGGTTTAAGTTTTACCCCAGATTACCCCGGTCCCACGGGTGATATTCGGGGTAGTTCCGAATTAGGTAAGCCCCCTGCTTTATCTCTCATCCCGCGTGGCGACGCAACGACGTCCCCGAGACGAGGAAGAGTGATAATTTGCTGCAGCAAAGATGAGCTTGCCTTTTGACCGGAACAATGTCGATTATGCAGATTTTGATGACACCGAAACGATGCATTCACGATCACCATACCGGCGGTCACGCATCCGAAAGTCCCGCGGTCGCGGCTTGCGAACGAGGAACGGATGGTGAGTTGCTTATTTTCCGAAGTTGTCGTGCTTACTTAATTGACTTGATTGATATAGTGTGCAATGCAGGAAACGACATGTGAAATGTGATGAGGTTAAGCCGATATGCGGCGCCTGTGCTAGAAAGGACAATACCTGCGAGTTCGCCAGCTCGAGCCACAGCACCAACGATTCAGTCTCTGGCAGGGCCTTCGTGAAGGCTACCCCCGAGCTATCCGCAGAGCGGATATCATCTCCAGCGGAGAATAGCGAGCATGCATCGAGTACAACTCAGGCGGACCAGGTGACTTTTGAACCACCTGAAGCTATCATTCCAGCCGGGCCTAGTTCCGCTGTTGATACCAACCCCTCTCCGCCTGTCGAGTTTAATCGATCCACGGGAGACCAAATTACTTCGATTGAAAGTCCATTCGCTATTCCAGATAACTATTTGTCACCTTCCAATGCATCGTTTGCGGCTGTACGATGGTTTGGGCTACTTGCGAATGATGCGGCTCGAGACAGTTCAACGGTGTGGACGATCCAAAATTCTTGGGCGAATCAAAGTCTCTCGTTGGGTCACTCCGGCTCTGACGATCAAGCTCAACTGAGCTCGCTGCAACGCGCGACTCAAGTACTGGACGGCCCTTCCATATACGGTAGTCACGACTTGACGCATGTTGGTGCGTCGGGAGAAAGCCCGCTCGAAGAAGAGCAGATCTGGCAGTCACGGGAGCCAATTGATCTTCTGCCAGCTGAGGCAACCTTGTTTGGACATTTTGTAGATCGAGTGAGCCCCTGGGTATGTTTGGTTTGCCCTGTTCATGACTTTGGAAGGCTTAACTGACATTCAATCTCCACAGATAGATTTGTTTGACCCCATGGCCCGATTTTCTACGCTCGTCGCACACTTGGCTGTAGGCTGATCCTTATTTTGCGAAACAATACCACTACTGGAGCTCTGACATGGAAACTGCAGATACACAATGCCGGCCTGATGAATGCTATACTCGCTCTCGCATATCGACATCTAGCTTTGAATCCACGTCTGAATGACCATAACGCCCCAAATAAAGAGGACTCAGCTCTTCAATATTATTATCAGACCCTCCACTATGTCCAAAAAGCTATGCAATACTCTGGCTACAAAAGGAGCCTAGAGCTACTCGCGACCACATTGATCATCTCTGCCTACGAGATGCTTGATAACTCCACGAAAGATTGGGAGAGACATTTAGAAGGCGTCTTCTTAATACAACGATCACAGGTTATTCATGGGGAATCAGGGGGGCTGCATTCGGCTGTTTGGTGGGCGTGGCTTTGTCAGGACACCTGGGCGGCGTTCCGTGAGAAACGCAAAACTCTTACATTTTGGGTTCCGCAGAAGCCGCTTTCTGTATTGTCACCATATGAGCTTGCAGCACGCTCAATATACAACGCGGCGAAGGTTATCAGCTACGCCGCTGAAGCTGCGACTGAGGCAGACATCAGACGCCGATCTGAAGAGGCGACCCGCCTCCGTAGGATGTTGAGTGATTGGCAAGAGCATCTGACCATTGAATTTTCTCCGCTGCCACTCCGCTCACGCCAGCAATCGTCACGCTTTCGACCAATTTGGATCCATCCACCTGTATTCGGTATGAACAAAAAGACTGACTCGATCCTTGAAAAGTAGCTAACGAAAAAGATAGCCGTGGCGCTTCAGTTCTTCAGTGTATCAAATATTCTATTGCTTGCTCATGAGCCTAGTTTGGGAGGCATGGAGCAGTACCTTGAACGACAAAGAGTGATTAAACGCTGCGTAGAGAATGTCTGTGGCATTGCTGCTACACTGAAAGATGACCCCTCCAGTCTCATGTCATCGCAAGCTGTATACATTGGTAAGTCCTTGCTGCTTCTACCAAGTAAATACGGCTAACTTGAAATAGCGGGGAAGTTTACTCAAGATAAATATGCCCGAGAAGCTATATTAGAGCTACTAGAGTCTAGTCGTGAGCGGAGTGGCTGGCCAATTCGATCCTTAGGCGAGGAACTACAGCATTTCTGGGAAGAGCACGAGCCGACAAAAACCGCAGCTGTCTCAAACTTAGACATGAGCTTAATTTTATAACTAATTGAATATTAAAACTCTTTGATTCTATTAAAATGTCTACAATCTGAGCAATGCCCCTTTCACAGTCGCTCCTAACTGGACTCTCCAGAGTCGATGCTCATTCAGAGCAAAGATCTCCCCATTTCTCCCGAAACAAAAGTTTGCAACACCACCTTCAATGAGGACCCTACCCAAAAGAACGCCACCCGGGGACCATACGTTGATGCCGTCCCCGCAACCACTGTACACATTTCCTTCAAGGTCACACTTGATGCCGTCTGGGATGCCCTGGTCCGCCATGGCAAAGAGACGCCGGTTTGTGAGAAATTTTTCTCCACCATACTCAGAAATATCAAATGAATAGCTAGGGTTGAATTGATATGAGTCTTGCTGGGTCCTAATTGAGTGAAGATTCAGGGGTAATATGCACTTACATTGAAGAAACTCGTTGATCATCGATCGTCCCGTCGCCGTGAACCCGATCGGTATCGGTAATATAAGCGACCTTTTCATCCGGCGACAAGGAAATACCATTCGGTCTCCCAAATCCATCGGCCATAACTCGAATATTCCCAGTTTTCGGGCACCATCGGTAAACTTGATTAGGCAAGCATGGACGTGGCCGGTAGCCCTGCTCAAAGCCGTAAATGGGATCCGTGAACCAGACTGAGCCATCCGTGTGTACCACCACATCATTGACAGAATTAAACTGCCGACCGAAGAAGTCGCTCTTCAAAAGCTCCGACTCATATGAACGCGTGGACATACGGTATAAGCCACTTGGCTGGTCCATGGAGCCTTGCGAGCAAAAAATAATGTCGCTCTGGCCGTAATTAATGCCTCCGTTGGCCATGGGGATATCAGTGGGGACCTCCTCATACGTTACTGGCCTTTTATTTAGATCCACTTGAGTGATATAGACCTTTTGTTCATTATTGGGGCCGATACATCGGTTGCTAGTGATGTAAAGATTGTTGGTATCAGGAAAGAAGACCCCAGCCTCGTGAGCGAAAGGGTATGCTTGATGCTCCGCCAGAAGCTCTAGTGTCGGCGTGGGTCCAATAATTGCTGAAAAGCGCTTATCATGACTCTGAAAGCAAGTCGCAGAATCGGTGGGCATGATGAAGTTCAAGCAGCACGCGCACTGCTCTAATGTGAGCTCCTGGAGATGGTGTCACTTGTCGCTGAAGAAGACAAGTGCGGTGAAGAACCTAGGGCGACGAGAAGAACAGAAACGGCTCAAGGATATTTCAATGCTATCGGGACTTCAGGAATGGAGCTTTCGAAGAAAGGCCAGATTTGAAACCTCGCGGGAGAGGGCGGGGTAGATCGTGCCTCGTCTCGAGGTCATATCGTCGAATTTGAAGAGCCACATTTGTCACGGGTCAGCGTTTTCTTAAATGAGTTCATTCAACACAATCAATGTACAATGTGACCTGAAATCGATATCTTACAGCTCTCTACGATCCCAAAATGTCTTGGAAAAACACCAACTGCCATAAGCGCATTCTCCGCGATGCGGAAAATGGCCACTATGGGGTCATTGCCGCCATCGCATACAACATCGAACAAATTTTGGGTCTAGTGAAAGCAGCGGAAACTGCACGCTCACCACTTATTATTCAATTTTTTCCTTGGGCCATCGAATCTACAGATGGCCTGTTGATACATGCCGCCGCCGACGCTGCTAGGCGCTCGAGTGTGCCTATCAGTATTCACCTCGACCATGCTCAATCTCCAGCAATCATCAAGCGTGCGGCAGAACTTCCATTCGATAGTATCATGGTTGATATGTCGCATTACGAAAAGGAAGAGAACTTGCAGAAGACCCGAGATTTGGTTCAATATTGCAACGAACGCGAAAAGGCCACGGAAGCCGAGCCAGGTCGTATTGAAGGAGGAGAGGATGGAGTCATGGATACAGCGGGGCTGCAAGCTTGTATGACGACCGCTGAGGAGGTAGACGAGTTCATTGACACGGGTGTGGATGTCCTCGCCCCTTCGTTTGGCAATGTCCATGGTGAATACGGCCCGCGTGGCCCGCAGCTGGATTTCGACAGGTGAGTCTGAGTGTTCATCGTTTGTAACATGAAATTTGCTAACCACTGAATCGTTAGATTTGAGAAAGTCAAATCTCAAGCAAATGGCAGAATCAATTTGGCTCTACATGGCACCAACGGATTTGCCCCAGAGCTGATGAAGCGCTGTGTGGCCGCCGGTGTTACCAAAATCAACGTTAATCGGCTGGTCTTAGATGACTATTATGACCACCTTCATGCAAATGTTGGGAAAATGCCTCATACGCAGCTTATCGAAGAGGGTATTCAGAAGGTGACAGATCTCACTATCAAATGGATGGAAATCTGTGGGTCAGCGGGTAAGGCATGAATGAAATGTCGAGTTGGCACACAATCGGGAAAAAAGTCAAACGAATAACTTCTCAATCAAGATATTATTGTGTATTCCTCTTTCAGTCCACATATATTGGCCTTGTTACTAGTAGTTTTCGCTCCTTGGGAATTGCTCAAGGGCACAGAATAGCGACGTTCTATCGAGCAACTCCACTTCCAAAGGTTACAGACTTGGATACCTAGTAGTAGTAGTAGTAGTAGTAGTAGTAGTAGTAGATAAAGAAATACTAGTATATTTCCCTCATATTGATTACTCATATGTATTTCTATAGGTTACATCACGGAGAGAGCTGATATTCTGCAATCACTGCAGGTTACTGAACATCCCACCGTCAGCCAATAGTCCAGTGGCGTTCACATAACGGCTCATCTCTTCACAGGCCAGGAAAACTGCAGGGCCTGCCATGTCCTCCGGGTCGCCAATGCGACCGAGTGGAATACGTGCCTCAAGTGCGGCTTTTTTGGTGGGATTTTTCATGTCATGATCGGCTAGCTGGGTGCCAATGGTGCCAGGCATCAATGCATTGCATCGGATCCGGTCTTTTCCAAGGGATATCGCCATAGATTGCATCATTGATAGAATGGCAGCTTTTGTAGGTGTATAATGTGTTTGCAAGCCACCGCCAACTAGGGCGCTGACAGAGGAAATGCCGATAATCGAACCGCCATGCCCTTGCTTTACCATCTGGCGAGCGGCAGCTTGGCAAGAATAGAAGCAACCTTTTATATTGACATCAACACTGTGATCAAGAAGGGCTGGCTCGATCCTGGGTAAATATGTTAGCGCAATTCGATCTATGCGGTAAGAAAACCAACGAGACCATTGGAAGATTTCGATCTTGGTATTGCGATTTGACTTACTTGAGAAACTCTGCTTGTTTGAATACACCCGCATTGGCAACAAAAATGTCCAACTTGCCCCACTTAGAGACAGCTTCCTTGACCAGGCTGGAGCCAGACCTAGGGTTTGTCACGTCGCCAGATAGCTCAAGAATTTCACCCGCATTGATACTCTTGTTTTTGATCGCCCTGGCCTCCTCAAGAAGACTGTGCCGATGCCTTTCATCTTGGGGCATTCCTAAGTGGTTGACTGCGACATTACATCCTTGAGTAATATATGCCAGAACAATTGCACGACCGATTCCAGTGGTACCACCGGTGATTGCCGCGGTCTTGCCCTTGAGAAGGTTCCAAGCAGGAAGCGCAGCCATTGTAAACCGAGCTTATATGAGTGAATGGGTGGTTGAGTGAATATGACGGCGGCTCAACAGGTCGAAAAGATGAGAATCGAAGAAAATCGACGACTCTATTGAAACGAAATATGAAATGTGGTGAAGGCTTGGGACATCCCCCACATTTGGTCCTCAATCCAGCCGAGACTGACTTCTTCCATTCACCCCTCTTTGCCTTTGGACTGGGAATGACCCTCTTGTCTCGTCTCGCCCAATGATGACGCAGATAGTGGATTTGTCGTCTCGGGACACAAGGTTGACCCACCTTGTGTCGTCTCGGGACTATACCCACGTTCTCCAACATTTCCCGTCTCGGGCGACTCTCGACTCGGGAGGTGCGGAGTGCACCGAGGGCAAATGATGGATTTTGGACGGGGTTCTTGACGAGAAGTTGCTACAACTCTTCTTTTTATGATTTATAAAAAGGCATTTGACTTTTTCTAATTCCTCTCAACCTTGTCCTCGTGAATTCTTCAATTACCAACCTCTAGGTCTCTCACCTTTCCTTCTCATTTCAAAATGGCTCCCTCTGTGACCTCCGACCAAGTGGTCGTTCCCCAGGCGGAAAATGCTCCCCAGACTCAGGTTACTCTCGGTGGAAAGGTGATTGCTAGTGGGTCTATCTGCAAAATCTGGTTGCATACAGAATGTTGTCAACTAATGGCGATTAATATTAGTTACCGGTGCCAACCGCGGTATCGGCCTTGGTATTGCCGAGTGCTGTCTTTCCAACGGTGCAGCCAAGGTCTATTCTATTGACATTGGAGAGACCGGTGACGATTTCAATGCTGTCTCCAAGCGCTTCCCCGGCCGGCTCTTCGCTGTCACCGCTAATGTGACCGACGAATCGACTATTACGACTGCGATCGATAAAATCATTGAGGAAGCTGGCGCTCTCCATGGAATGGTGGTCAACGCTGGACGTACAAATCACAAGGCCGCTCTCGACTTTACCAAGGAGGATATTGAAACCTTGTTTAACGTCAACCTCTTCGGTGCTTTTTACACCGCACGCGCTGCTGCTCGTGCATTTATCAAGCTCGGGATCAAGGGATCTATTGTCTTCACAGCATCAATGGCCTCTTATCGTCCCAATAAGGTTAGTCTCAATCAGAGCGCGTTCATTAACACATTCTTAACATTGCCTCTCAGCGCGTTCCTTCTACCCCCTACGGTGCATCGAAGGCAGGCGTACGGAACATGACCCATACCCTGGCCATGGAGTGGGCGCAGTACGGCATTCGTGTCAACAGTGTATCTCCCGGTCTAGTGAAGACAGCCATGACATACTGGGTGCCTCAGCAACCAGACTGGGAACAGCAACTCAAGTATTATGGTGGATTCCCTCGGTTGGCCGAGGTACAGGAGCTCGGTGGCGCCTACGTGTACCTTCTAAGCGAGGCCGCTAGCTACACCACCTCCATTGATATTCCAGTCAATGGTGTTATAGGAAGTGAGTATTCTCCAGTCTCTCTTGTAAGTAGAATCGCCATGCTAATAATAACCCCAGTTTGTTAGATATTCCCCTCGACAACGAAATTATGACTGGAAGTGAATCAGATTCGTAGATTTGGAAACATTTACTGCTTCCTGGTTTGATAGAAATATAGTCGATATTATAATGAGATGTTTATTCATATATATCTGAGATCTTAACGCACACCCTTGTGGTCCGTGTATAATTGAAAGAAGACATCTGTGCACCAATGACAAGCTGTGTTTCTTGAAGAGAACTTCGAAACTCAGCTCTTGTACAATACAAGCTACAGTCAGTGTCATAGCCCTTGATGAAACATTTACCAAAATTTGCAGATACAAATAAAAATAGAGAGCATAGGACCTCCACGGCTATTGCAAGCTTTAGCACATTACAACCTTCAATACAATGAAAGGAACAGCATAGAGAATCGGGCACATAAATAAGTCTGAGTGCCGTTTTCATTATTGGGAATTACTACAGTCAACTCCCGCTTATGGCACACCCTGCCATCCAACAGAATTAGTGTGCTATAAGTGAATTGTGCTAGAAGTGGTCTGGTGACTAATATTTCTATAATGATCGACATCATTACTTCCGCTTTGAGAGCCATGTCTCTTCCAGTGTCTTCTGTTCCCTCCTATCCACCTGTAGTCTAGTAAATATACCTATAAGGCCCTCTATCTGACGAATATTTTCCTCAGTAGTACCCTCTTGGTGCTGTGCCCATAGAAGTGCATCCTTCATACTATGAATGACTGCTGCACTAGATGGTAAGTCAGGTGGAGGCCCAAATATATATTCATCATCCTCATCATCACCATCACCATCACCGCTAGCGGTTATATCCAGGATAATATCAGATAAATCAGGTTCACCAGCGTTGTTTTCATCTGATGGGTTCAGGAAATTATCTAATGGCATAATCTCCTGAGCACTCCCAGAAAGCTTGCTAGTTAACCTCTGATATAGATCACCTAACTGAAGTACTTCTGGTTGTCCTTCTATCTGACTAGTACGACCAGTAATAGTACTCTTATCAAAGCAGTTTTGTATAGTCTCGTTGAGTACCTTATTACGCCATGCCTGGGTGATCCAGTGCAGAGTATAATTAAGGCTCATTTTCTTTTGAGGATCAAGGTTCCGATCAAGTATATTAACCATCCAAAGCATCCATTTTCTCCGATAATGGTGCTTTAGGTTCTGGATTATACCTTGGTCCAGTGGTTGGTAAATTGACGTTGCATTCGCTGGGAAGAAAAGAACCCTGATATTGGGAGGTGGGGGTGCATCTTCAAGCGCGCATAAATGTGCAGAGAAGTTATCAAGCAAAAGCAATACTCGTCTTTGCTTCCCAATATGCTTATAAAATGAGTAGAGCCATTCTTTCATAATTCCACTGCGCATCCATGCCTTCTTATTCCAACGCCAGGTACATCCAATCGCCTGGAAATTTACCCCCCCGAAGGGCTCGCGGTGTCTTTGCAGTACCAATTAACCACAAAGGAAGTCGGTCTGAACCAGTAGCATTTGTTGCAACTACTATAGTAATTCGGGCCTTATCCTTCTTTTGACCAGCATATCCATCAGTTGATAGACCACCATTTGGCATACGACGCCAGTAAAGCCCAGTTTCATCCATATTATAGATATTCTCCTGATCATATTGGTCACAGACTACCTGAATAGGTTTTATCTCATCATGTATTGAGCTCGGAACGGATGCAGCTTCACCATGGAAGATATGATATCGGAGAGAGTGACGTTGTTTAAACCGGGTAAGCCAACCATCAGAGAAAAGAGGCATTGGTAGTTTAGAATATTCCGGTATCTTTCTCCAGTATTCAATAGCTTTGAACCGAAGAAGTGGCCCCGTTATCGGAAAGCCAGCATCCTGGTGTCGCTGTTGCCATTCAAAGAGCTTATCATCCAATATAGGCCAATGCGATGCCGACGTACGCATGTTTAGACTAGCTGGACCAGTATCAAGATGCTGGTATTTAGATGAAAGGATCCTTGAGACAGTAGCCCGATCAATAAGGCGACCAAATTGGGATTGAAACCATTCAACGCAGGCTCTCTAAGATGGTGTAGGGTGTGTTTCAGATGCATAGACACGTAGAGCCTGTTTCTGAGCGTCAGATATGCCCTTTCTGGCACGTCTGGCGGTGGGCATCCTAGCCGAAAGAGCGATCGAATTCTGCATTTTGATTGGTAGATATGTATGACTAAGCAACAGGAATTGGAGGAGAATTGTGTGCTTTAGCTGAGTGTGCCATAAGTGGTCTATTTATATGGCAGATAGTGGAAAAGTGGGTCCATCCACAAAATTTTGGTGCTATAACCGAATGTGTGCTAATCATGGGCGTGCTATAAGCGGGAGTTGACTGTAGTAGATGTGAAAAATGTTGGCATTGAGATTTCATTCGGAGTGCCTCAACTTTAAGTTGAACATATAACTACCCACAACCTGAACTTAAAGTATCTCAATTTTTCATGCAGACGCTTTCAAGTTCCAAGTGCCGCAATTACATATTTCAATGACCAGAGACCATTTCTTCATGCTCAGACTTGCTAGCATTGTAAGCTTTCTCGGAATCCTCAACAATACTGTTTCTCATCCGGGCTGCACCAAAATTTGGGTTTTCAGCCAAGTATGCCGCAAAACTCGACTCAGCTTCCCAGACGAATGGTGACTTAGAAGTGAAGAGTAAATCAATTTCTTCAAGCGTACGCTGACTTGACTCAGGATAAAAAGCCCATACTAAACGGCCGTCAGTCCAGATCATTTGCCATGGGGGTAGAGTTAGCGGTCTTACCGATAGGGATACTGATAAGGTTAACGGCACCAAAGACATGCAGTGTGTTCTCTCCGATGGCCTCGAAAATGTACGGAAGAGCCAAGGTCAATGATCTGATTCATGTTAAAAATTTTCAAAAAAATAGACCAACTGAAAACAAACTTACCCGTTGCCCAGACTCCAGCCAACAACGCCCCATGCATTCCCCTTGGCTCGGACTTTGAGGGGAAATATTTCTGCTGGATACAACCAGGGTACAGTGAGCCAAGTAGCACCGAATATGAAGGTATACAGGTAGACCATTGAAGTTGCTGCGACCCCCCAGGGTGCCTGGTTTCCTGGGTTGTTAATTCCGCCACGAGCCATGCCACCTGCAAGGAACATGGCAATTGCTTGTCCTGCTGCTCCCCACCATAATGTCCAGCGTCGTCCGATCCTATCCAGAGTGATAACACAAATCAATGTAGCGAACGCGTAAAAGATGTTGTTGAGCCCTGATATCCACATTGTCTTTTGAGAATCGAAGCCGGCGATCTTGAAAATGGCTGCAAGTATGATTAGCCTCAGATAATAATAAAAAAGACCAGAAACAACTTACTCGGTGCGTACATTGTGATTCCAGCAATTCCTGACCAACATTGAATAATTTGCAACCAAATCACGAGTTGAACGCGTCGGGCAATATGCAAATCTCCCTGACCGAGCCCGAATAGCATATGGTAATAAGTGATATTTTCTTCCGATTCCGCCTCTAACTCGACGGCAGTCTCAATTTCTTTCATTTCTAACTCAACCGCACGCTCGTTTTCAACCCCTCGAAGACGTTTCAGGACGTACATTGCCTCATCCCGTCGACCCATCATACAAAGCCAACGAGGGGATTCAGGGAAGAACCAGCAGCCGGTGACGAGTAAAAGCAGCATGACAATCTGGAAGGCTATAGGGAATCGCCATTGGAACTCGGAAGTGCCGTTGCTGATGTAACTGAGTCCGAATCCCAGCCAATAAGCCACCACGACGCCAACAATATTCAGCGTGAATTCCATGGCGATGAACATGCCACGAGACTCATAATCAGCAAGTTCGGAGCCATAGACAGGAACAGTAGCATTCAAGATTCCAGTGCCGATGCCGTTGATAAAGCGAGAAACGATCATCCACGTCGGGTTCATTGCTGTGCATTGGAGCACTGCGCCGATTATTCCCCATGCAGCGCCAAAGGCGAGTGAGTTGATGCGGCCAAACCGATCACTTACATAGCCCCCCATGAAGCATCCGACCAAGGTTCCCAGATAATACACCGAGACAATGCCCCCTTGCAACAGGGTGTTGGTAATAGTGATCGATCCATTCTTCTCGTAGCCCAACCCCATTCGGTCCACATACGCCTTGGAGTCATTGACTCCACCCATCATACCTTGATCATATCCTGTATGCTATGTCAGAATAGTTTCTCTCATTCAATTCGAATTATTGGCTGGAAAACTCGCCGAAGAAAAATATGGCAAGGCCAGCGAGGCAGTTTGCTGCTATCAAAAGTGGCCTTTTCTCTAACCGAGAGGCGATCTTCCACTTTGCCCGCTCATCGCTCTTAATAGCGAACATCGTGGTCCTCAGAATAGAATTTTGAAATTTCAGTGGACAAGCGCAAGTAACCATGGGAATTTGTACGAAATGCGAATTCCCTAGTCATTTATACCAGATCTGTAAGCCCTCCAAGCCATGGAATAATGTCCAATGCGTACCCCGGATTTGGAACTTCATCCGATAGTGAAACCTGGGGGCGGGTTGCCCCAGATCCGAAAATGAGGAGCCTTGTTGCGGGGCTCGACCGAAGGCAACTCGACTGGGGACAGGGGCACGAAACGGGGATCCATCCAGGCCTTCTGCTTGTCATTGGCCGGGTTTCCTAAAAGGGAAAGAATAATCAAATATGCGGGCTATGTCGATTTGAGCTCTGGATTGATGCTGATGCAATCACATCTACAGCTCTCCATAAGCGCAGGGTGGTCAGTACTGTTGTATATAGGGGAATTTTACCTGACCCTCTTGAAGGCCGTCTATAAATTCTAAGTCTAAGATTATAAGTGTTCTGACTGCCCTAGTCTCCATCTTTCTAAGGGGACTCGTACCTACCTGGGATGGAATAGATTGGCTAATCTGCCCTAGAGTATCTGAAGTAGCTACTAGTCTACCAATAGAAGATAGTCATAACAGTAGATAATTAGAGATTAGAAACTTTTATAGTACTACTGTGATATTTTTCAAAGTTATATACGAAATATTAGGAAGTCTTTACTGGGAGGTTACAGGAGGCCTTTAAGACAGTCAGGTAGGATTCCCCTATATACAAGAGTACGGACCCTGCGCTTATGGAGCGCCGTATCAGATCAACCTTGGAACCGGGCTCCGAGTTATTGAATATCCGCTGAGAATTTAATGTCTAATATTTTCGAGAAAACTATCCTATTTGCGTTATAATGCAATTTGAAACGAAAAATATGACTTCGATTGGTCTGTCAAATTTCAAGTTTATTCTCCGTCGCGCCACTGAGCCGTTTATCCACAAACTCCCTGTATGCTCGCTGCCGGGAGCACATGTCCAAAAATACCTCATACTTGGCCTGGAGAAGCTTCTGCTCGTTTGTATCAGCTGTAGGGTCGATGCGTCGGCCTGGCTTGCTCATTTGGCCAATAATGTCCCACAGGTCCTTTGAATTCCCTTCTGGGCCTTTACTGGCCGCCATAGCTGCTAACATAGCAGCACCGTGACATACAGCAGCATGGATGTACTCAGGAAGCACGACTGGCATCTTGCAAGCGGAGGCAATCAAATGAACTAAGAGCCCATTTTGCGTCTGGGAGCCCGACATGAAAATTGACGAAATTTGATGCCCGTATCGATTCATAGTATCGACAATATGGCGCGTTTGCAGTGCAATGAACTCCAGCGCACCATAATAGTGCAAAGCCAGGCTCTTGATTGATTGGTCGCTTTTCAATCCAATGATTGCCCCGCTCATCTGGGAATCAGCAATCGGAGACCTGTTGCCCCATAAATCACCGTAGAAAAAAAAAGTGTTTGGCCAGCTGAGGGATGTGAACGACCTGTGATTCCTCGGCCTCTTTTCGAAGATATTCATTAATGAAATCATAAATATGGGTACCGGACTTCTCAGCTGCTTCTTTTGCTTCCGAGTAAGCTGGATGGCTCTCAACAACCTGTCGTATGAGTTCGCCAGTAGCCGACTGGCCTCCTTCAGCAAGATATGCGCCGGGAAAGAGAACGTCCCGGTAGGGGCCCCAGACGCCAGGTACAAATAACTCATCTTTTGACATAGCCAAGTGGCATGTTGACGTGCCAGCCACCACCGCCAGCCGATGTTGAACGTGTTCCTTTTGGTCTGCCAAGCTCGCAAGTCCCAGATCAACCTTCGCACCAACCGTGCCAATCCAACCTGCGTAGGCATCGATCACCCCACTACCGACAGCGATTCCGGGCGAAAGCCCGAGCTCAGCAGCAGCTTTCTCAGTTAAAGGTCCAACATATTCGCCAGCACTGAGAAAGTGGCCGTCCTGTGAAAACCACATGTCAGATTTTCACCAAAAGAATAACAAATGTCGGTGAACAATTTACCTTGCCTTTTATACCCCCAAGTCTTTCAAATCCTTCGTTCGTAAGATCCTCTAGCCCGATAGAGGTCAAAAAATCCGACTGCCAACCCTCTTTGCAATTCTCTGTTCCAGATGCAAGATATCCCTGTTTGCAAATTACACTGCAGTAGCTGCGGGCTTCCTCCCGGGTAGCCAGGTGTGTAAGGGCATCTGCAAGATCGTAAAATTTGCAGTCAAGAAACGTGCTTGGGTTCATATGCTTCTTGAGCCAAAGAATCTTAGGTATCTCCATCTCCGGTGACATGCCGCCTCCGACGTACTGCAGAACGGGATGCTTGGTCGCATTTATTGTTTTTGTCTCATCTATGGCACGATGATCCAGCCAGAGAATGACATTGCGGTCATTACTGACACTTGCGCCGCTGACAGAAACCGGTCGGTCGGTCTTCTTATTGAAGAGAGCAAGAGAGCAAGTGGCATCAAACGCGAGGCCGCGGATATTTGCCTTTGGTACCTCGGATTGCTCAACCACTCTCTTGACTGCTGTACATATGCTGTCCCAGATGTCGGTAGTTGACTGTTCGTAGTAATCAGAATATGGTTGCCATGTTTTGATGTTTTTCGATGCGAGACCAATTATGTTGCCATTTTTATCAACAACGCAAGTACGGGCGCCTCCTGTGCCTACATCGATTCCAATATAGTAGTCTTCGTTCTCGTCATGGGACATGGTGGAAAAGCAGTCTGAATCACCAAAATATGAAGGATCTGGATACTTCCAGCACGCAGACGAACTCCCGGTCACTTTAAAAACCAATTCTATTTGCCTATTACTCTTTTGTTCTTCGGTTATTACGTTTAATTTCGTCTGGTAGCACGATATGTTTTCTCGGTTATGGAATCAAGAGAGACCATCGAGATGTGGAGATCCCCGAGACGGCGAAAGCCCACGACACGGGGCCACCAACTCCACAAACCTCTGGGAAGAGTATGCGCGATATTGAACATCAAAAACAGATTATTTGGCTATGGGTCATACAAATAGAAAGGATATGAGTAGTAATCGGATATAAATAGACACACCCACGATTGCAGATGCTTTCTAGGAAAGTCATTATTACGACAGATCCAGAAATTCCGATATGGTTCTCTCTAAGCCTGAAGATGCCCCGGTGCAGACGCTCTTTGACCTTACAGGAAAAGTCGTTGCCATAACCGGTAATTTAATTGACTCGCATATTGGTCCTGTCACTGACATTTTTTAGGCGGAGGTCGAGGAATTGGTCTAGCTGTTGCTACTGCATACGCCGAGGCTGGAGCCAAAGTATGTCCAACTTTATTACTTTTTCCTAGCTTTTCGCATTCAGAGCACTGACCGTTTTTTCTAGATTGCTCTTCTTTATCGCACGACGACAACCGCGCCAAAAACTGCAAAAGAACTTTCTTCTAGGTATCAAACTGAAGCTCACGCTTACAAAGCCGATGTCACTGCCCCCGAGGAAATATCTGCGGCGATAGATCAGATCGTGCAGGACTTTGGAAGGTTGGATGTTATTCTTGCCAACGCTGGTATTTGCTCCGAGCATGCGGCCGAAGACTATACACCCGAGGAATTCCAGGAGATCATGAACGTGAATGTCAACGGTGCATTTTATACCGCACAGGCCGCTTCGAGAATTTTCAAGAAGCAAGGTTTCGGAAATGTGGTTTTCACAGCATCTGTCAGCGCGACACTCGTGAATACACCCCAACGTCAGGTCGCGGTACGTACTCTCTGTATTTTCCTCTTTCTGGTACACTTTCCAGAAACAACGAGGTTATAAACTCGCTCTTGGATTTCGTGATTGCTTATGCTTTCAATTTCCTTTATAGTACAATGCCTCCAAGGCTGCCGTCTTACAACTTGCCAAGTCGCTCGCTGTGGAATGGGTAGACTTCTGTCGAGTCAACTGCGTTTCACCTGGCTATACACAGACTCAGATTATGGAATATGCTTCCAAGGATATGCTCTCTAAGTGGCTCGGTCAAATCCCCGCCCGTCGATTTGCTTCTCCCTACGAACTTAAAGGGGTAAAGACATCCCACTTGTTTAAAGCCATTAAGTAAGAATTATGCTAACATGTTTCTAGGCCTACCTTTTCTGCGCTTCTGATGCTTCGAGTTACATGACAGGCTCGAATTTGGTGATTGATGGAGGATTCACCCTGCCATAAAATTGAACAAAGCTAGATTATATAGATGAATAGAAGAGCTTCCTCGTTGCTTCTGTACACTGAAATAGCTTCCCAAGTCGCCCATTGAAGCTACTTTCTGCGTATTTTAGTTTAAGTTTTCTTAAAGAGAATGTTGGAAGTAAAATCCCAGAACACGGAGCTCCTAGTAATTTTTTCAGAAAGTCGGGTATGGTATTTGATATTGAATAGGGCTGTTTCCGGTGCAGTAGTCTCATATAATCATCGACTATTAAGCTGTGTCGATTCGGATGAGACGAGAGATATATGCCAGTCACATCTACGGATTCTTAATTTCTGTATGGTGATTATTCTACTCTTAGTATTTACTAAATTATTGATCGGCTATTTCGAGGTACTAACCGATATGACTCTCGTAGCTCATTCTTTCACCAACTCGACCCAGAGTTACATATGTTCCATTTCTGACACCAGATATTCAAATCTTCAGCAAAAGTGACAGCTTACTCACACTCTGTCGGTTAATCTTGACTTAGGTTGAGGTTGAGGAAGATAGTACGACTTGTTTCAACTTTCCAGGGTGAGTTACCAGGTAGTTGAGCTTCAAAAAAGAAAATTTTATCAAAGTTTGTTGACGGGAAAACTTGTTATCGACAAAACCTTGGAAGCGTCTAGGTACTAGTACCTAGTTATATACATCCATGGATTTTCCGTTCCTGATATGCTTAATGAGTTTTACCCCTCATAGTACCGTCAATTCCTTCCAAGTCACTGTACAAACGCCATTCGTAGTCCAAGCTGGGATCATTGAACCGGGCCTTCGCATCTAGGGTTGCTATCTGAGCCATATCTTCACGCTGCAACTCAAAGTGGGCCGCTAGGTTTTCCTCAATTTGCCAGTCGACCACACTCTTGGGGATGACGGACCGGCCACTGTTGATACCCCACGCAAGCACCACTTGCACCGGGCTCTTGCCATACTTTTGACCAATCTCCTTCAGAATTGGCTGGTCAATAACCCGCATCATATGCGAGATTTCTTTTGACCATCCGGTTTGTCGATAGAAGTCATTCATATTGCCGAGTGGGCTAAATTGGACAACGTGGATTCCCTTCGTCTGCAGCCACTCGTTAAACCCCTTTTGCTGTAGGTAAGGGTGGACCTCCATTTGGTGGACGGCTGGGACCTAGAGGATAGATTAGAATATTGTCGCAGATATCCGAGAGTTTTGGGATAGGGGAGAGTATTAACCGTGGAGGATCCATTAATCAAAGTGCTAATTTCGCCTCGACTGAAATTTGACACTCCAATTGCCTTGACCTTTCCGGTCCTAGTCACTTTTTCCATCGCTTTCCACGTATCCAAATACGTTGTCTCGCCTGCAACCATTCTCCCATCGGCATCCCGGGGGAATCGGTCAGGGCCTCGCTTAAAGGTGCACGGGTAATGCATTAACAGAAGATCAACATATGGGGTGTCTAGATCTCGAAGAGAATCATCCACGGCGCGCTCTACATCGTTTGGATGATAATCATTGCACCATAACTTTGTGCTGACGAAAATCTCCTTACGTGGAATTCCGCTTTTTTTGATTCCCTTTCCGACCTGCTCTTCCACATTGTAAACCCGAGCTGTATCGATAAGTCGCATGCCCTTTTGCAAAGCCAGGCTAACAGTGTCTTCCTGGGAGTCGGGATCTTGGAAAGTGCCAAATCCGAGCGCCGGGATTTTTGCACCGGTGTTAAGTGTGTAAGAGGTCGCATGGGTGTTCAGGGCGCGAGAAGCGGTTGAAGTTGTGAACATTGACTTCCTCCCCAACGCCGTCACCCGGGTCGCTCTGGCTGCCAGAGAAGCCATCGTATCAGAATGGGTGCAAGATAGGATGATTGTATAGAGCAAAAGGTCGATGTCAGCTTTCTTTTGTTGGTAGAAGCCGAGTTAACGCTTAAATGCTCAATTGCATGGGAATGCGAAGCTGTGGATTTCCAACGGAGTGAAACGAGATTTGATGGGAACATCGTGCCCCTCCCCCATGTCGGCGTGGTGGACGCGAGACGAAGTGATGGGGAAATGCCAAGAACACCCCGTAACGGAATGGACGTGGGGAACACCCCACATACCCACAACCATCACGAGATGTAGATTTTGTCAAAGAACTTGAATCCAGAGGGCTATCCTTGCTCACGGCCTTCATCGCAACAGCCAGACGCGATATATGCTCCAGAACGATGAGGTATTTTACCGTATGCTGTTTTTGTGAAATGAGGATACTTTTCGTAAGCATTTGCTATCTAATTGGTTACATAGATGTAGCCTCTGCATCTATGTAACTCCCGCGGACGTCTAAATACCTGAGATATGTACGTGGCCTTGGTTGAGGTTAATACGAAGGCGTAGAATATCTTCAAAACCGGTATACCTCATCGATAAAGGTCGCATTGGTGCTCATAGACTCCCTCGTTTTTCCCCCTTGTACGCATTAAACACTCGCAGAAAACCCGGTAACGAAGTGACCGGATCCCCCTCTGGATATCCGGTTACTGCCATCCCTGTTTTGAAGACACCCAAGCTCTTGAAGAACATGATAGATCTTTGATCAAGCTCGTAAAAATGTATAGAACACCTCGGAGAGTCCGAATGATTGTGCGATGTGAAGTTCATTGTCGCTGCTGTGGTGTGATTCCAACCTGGACCAATCGGAAGCAATCATACCACACCCGGGAGTATATAAAACTTGAAGCGATTGCCGCAATGAAATAGCCTGAGTCAACTCCTGTAATATTCAGATCAGATCGGACTCCAATCAATTCTTCATATTTTTCACGCCAATTCAACATTGCAAAATGTATCCATCGCCCTCTATTGTAATCATCGGTGCCGGTCCGAGTGGTCTTCTTTTCGCCCGTCTCCTTGAAGTCAATGGATTCAAGAACTATGTTATTTACGAACGTGACGAATCATCATCCCCAGGGCCATGGCAGCAAGGCGGTTCATTGGATATTCACGGCCCGTCGGGTCAGCAGGCACTCAAGGAAGCCGGATTGTTTGATGAATTCAATGCAGTTTACGCTCGCTGGAATGCCTCGAAGGTCCGCATTCTCAGACCTTCCGGTGAAACATCAATATGCTTTGGCGAGGATCGTAACGCACCAGAGATTGATCGGTTGCAGCTACGCCAGCTTCTACTCAACTCTATACCCGCGCACAAGATCAGGTGGGATCACAGTGTGTGCCGTATTGAAAGGAGTGACAATGACTCCAGCGATGGGGCCAATGGCTACATCATTCACTTTATCAACGGTAACTCGGCCACTGGTTTTAAGCTTATCGTTGGAGCTGACGGAGGCTGGAGCAAAGTCCGCCCTCTGGTAAGCTAACCAATATAGAATGCAATCAACAGAAATCGGGATTCTAACTCATATTTTCAATCTGCAGGTATCAGCAGCTCAGCCAGTTTATTGCGGCAAAATGTACATTGAGAGCAAAATCTCACATAACAACAGAAGTTATAAAGCAGCCTGCGAGTTGGCTGGCCCCGGCCTGATGATGGCGGTGGGTCCAAACCGAAGCCTAGCCATCCAGCAATCAGCGGACGGCACGTACAAAATGTACTTTGGCATCACTGTTGCTAAAGACTTCTACGAACACCGCAATGGCGGTGCTACGAAAAAATCTGAAGCTGTGCGACGATTGATGTTGTCTTCAGACGAATTCTACGCGAATTGGGCACCGCAGCTGAAAGCTATCGTAGCTGATGGAGAAGGACCATTTCGTGCCTGGAGTTTGCACTATCTGAGACCGGAAGAGGTGGATTGGGACCGCGGTGCTGCTCCAGGCGTGACCCTACTTGGGGATGCGGCGCATCTTTCAACTCCTTTTGTGGGAGAGGGAGTGAATTGTGCCATGTATGATGCTGTACTCTTGGTTAAACGCCTCGTTGAGCTTTGTGGGGAGAATCTCGATATTACAAGCGTGCCAGCGTCAAAATTGGAAGAGGCCCTTGCTTTATACGAAAAAGAAATGTTTGAACGTGGGCGGGACTTGATACGGCGCAGTAAGAAAAGTGAAGCAATGCTTTTCGACGAAAATGGGGAGAACTTCCTTGCCTCGATGCGTGGAGAACGCGAGAAGCTGATCTATGACGGGAGAACTTCCACGCGTACCTAATAGTCGTTCAGTATTTGATCATCTGGCACTAATTTGCCCGGTTTTCTACAGGAAAAACATAGTAGCTTAAAATTCAGAATCTGTTTTGCGGTGCCATTTTCCGATACAGAGATACAAACATGAACCCAAACAAACAAAATCAGTGTGTATAGGTATTCGAAAAACGCCATAGTGCCCACTTACTACCATCCCCGATGCATTCTCTTGTGGGTATGCAACTCCATTGACATATCTTTCTAGCTTCAAGGCTAGAATAGTTCAGCTTGAATGCAACTTCTTGATGCGCATGCTACCCTCGTAAAAACCACGGTCCAACGCAGCAGCAACAGTGAGAGTACCTCCAATAATGGCACACACACCGGTCAGGAAGCCGGTGAAAGTTTTCGGCCGGGTCTCCCGATTGATGACCTTCATGGGAGAGATATCATAGTTGAAGAAGACGCCGGGAATACCACCAGCAGCATGCATGCGTTCTTTGTGGCCCTCGGCGGCATCGTCACCACCTAGGAGAGAACGCTTGTGTGAAGTGACTGAGTACTGGTGAGCCTCGATACTTCCTTGGGCACCATATGCGAGGCCGTGAGAGCCAAGAGGTGCCTTATCGTATGCGCTATGGATCGCAGACGAGAAGAGAGGGTCCCATCCCAGTGGCAAGTATGAGGTCGAGACAACCTTGACAAAGTACATGAAGTTGAATTTAGGCTCATTAGTCGCCTGCTTGGTGTCGTCAAGCGGGTTAGTGTGGTGGTGATCCGACCATTGCCATCGGTCAGCGAGTTCTGCGGGAAGAGAGGGCCCAAATCGAAGCTCGTGGATCTCATGGCTCATGGTATGCTGCTCGTCGGCTGGGGTGCCGGGTATATCGTAGTTTTGCAGGTCGTGAGCATGCATGTTTTGGTTTGTAAAACTACGGCCTGGCGCAATGTGGAAGTTGCCCACCACCTTGTTGACACGAAGCACGCCTTCCACTCGGCAACCCTCACGGTGCATCGCCTTGAGCTTATCCTTGTAGCCCTCACGCTCGCATTGCTCGACGTTGTCACCAACGCCAAAAGCCCATGTCTTGGCCGCGTATGCTTCTCGGACTTCATCACAAGTACTGCAGCAGCCGGCCTTGATAGCGTTATCTGGCGCTGTGGCTCCGTAACAATCACCACAGTAGTCTGGGGCAAGATGCGCCGCGGCATCTGCAGGGGAGTGTCTGGACATCGAGAAGGACAGAGTCAGTCAATGATCCAGTCGCAGGGCCGGTTCTGCTTTGCAATCACGAATAATGAACTTACAAATCAAGGGACTGAACATCGATGACACGGCCGCCTTCTGCAGGCGGGGACAGTCGGACCTTGTTCACGCCATGCGCAACGCCTGATTGTAGTTCGCCCGAGACATCCATGACGTCCAAGGTCAAGAGTTCGCAAGGTAAACGCGGGAAAGTCATGTTCAAATGGATCTCCATTCGTTCGCCTATTTAAGATGTATCGAATGTCAGCCTTTTCTCGCAGACACACCTAGAACGTCTGCCAATCATGGTGGGCAATTGCGTACCTCTCGACTTGTCAACGACGAGTTCAGGTTGCACCACAATCCGCCGATAATCCGACCATTCTCCCCATACCAGCCAAAAGACTATCAGAAGCGATGCGATGGTAATAACACCTCCAGAGTTCGTACGAATGCGCGCATCTTCGACGGTCTTGGCGAAGGCGTCGAGTCTCGTAAATCGCGATTTTGCAGGCATTTTGCCGGTCAATTGCAGACCATAGGGCGAGCCAATATGTAGGCGAAAGGTCTCAGAGAGCGTCAGCAGCGCGCTTGTCTGGTGTCAAGGCGGGGAAGTTAGCAAAGACCAGATGGTACGCGCAAGCTATGAAGTGAAACCAGAAGACACGATCACCCGGTCAGACATCAAAGAAGAAGACAATGTCGAATGGAGATACATACATGGACTTAATCGAAACAAATCAATTGGCGGGTGTGATCTGGGGTCCTGCAGCCGAGGAGGAGGGCTGGTGTGCAAGTTGACTGCAAGTTGGCCTTATCGAAGTAGTATATCAGCGCCGATTGGCTTTGGCCCCATTTGACAAATAAAGACGGAGGAGTGGCAGGTTTTGATTGGTCAATTTGCTGACTCATCATTCATACACACGTGACAGCTGTGTTCTTCATGACGCATAGGTCACGTGAGGCGGTCAACATTCACTGAAGAAAAAAAGGGCCCGGCGTCCGCCTGATGCGGCGCGCAAAACTCCGTGGCGGGAACGCTGCCTAAATCTTTCTTTGGAAAAGTGATTTTTAACAGCTTCTTTGTCTTGCGTTTTTCTTTCCTCCGCTTTGATCACCGATTCTCTACAACTTCAGTGAATGCGAACGACTTCGCCCCGCTCGATCTAGGTGGCTGCGCAACGCGCAAAGTGGTCCGAGAAGACCAGCCTCTCCTCCTCCCCTCTACTCTGCGCTCCTTCCCAATCATCAGCTTTTCTTTTATCCATTCTTCCATCACATCCTCAGGCCGAATCATCCCAACACTATGAAGACCATGAAGTCTCGTCGACCTGGAGGCGCATCTGGCGGGGGCATCCGCAAGCGGGGCCCAACCCGAACCGATCGAGATGGTGATATGGACATGGATAATAGTGCGCGCGGGGGAAAGCGAGGTCGCGGCGATTCTGGTCGTTCCTCTCGAGCTGGTGGAGGACGGTCTGCTGGTGGAAGTCGACCTCAGACACGCGACAGGACTCTGAACGCCATTCAACAAGCTATCTCCGAGAACAACAACAAAGATTCCGCCCAGGCCAACGTTCGACATGGCAAGGGTGGTAAGGGAAACAGCACTCAAATTAGCATCACTGGTTGGAGGAAAAGCAACGCCTCTACCAAACGCGATGGTGGTGTTGAGAACCTCATCTCCTTCTGCGAACGAAAATTGAACTCGGCACCTAAAGGATCCCGCTTCAAAGTCACCAAGGTAAGTCCCTGCGGCAGCGCGGTTGCCACACACGAATTTCGACTCTATACACCCTCGCTACATCCGACTGTTTCCTGGTTATCCCCCAGAAAGACCCGAATAGCCCTCCCACTTCGCAAAACGGTCGACAACCATGGATTACACCAGTCTCCCAGATTTCTCTCTCTCTTCTTGATTTTAGCTTCGCTTTATTACAGTCCCAAATTATTTTACGCTTTTCTGACCTTCAATTAGTCGCGGGTTGAAGGCGATATTCTCGTGGTTTCCGTCCACCCCGAGTGGACCGAGCGCCTGCTTCAACTTAATGGCAAACTCTTTGCAGGTGTCAACATTACCGTCGAGCTTTACGATTCTTCAACCGCAGTACTTGGTCAGCAACTTGCCACCTCCGGCAGCACATCGGCTTCGACAGCAGATACCAAGCTTAAAATCACTTCAATTTTAGGCAAACGCTTCAACCCTGCGGCGAAGCTCTTGGACTTGTCGAAACTTGTCGACGATACCGATCTCCAGGCCATGGGTATCTTCAACAGCACCACAACCCAGTCAAAGTTCTTTCCTGCCATGATGAAAGTATGGGAAATGCAATTTACCAGCTCCTCCGAGCGGCGAGAGGCAGTGGAGAGTGTCAGCTTAGCCCAGAACCAGCTCGCAAACGTCTCCGTTGTAACGACCATGGCTCAGACATTTGCCGACATCAAGAATCTGGACCTTTCAAACAACAACTTCAAGGATTCTCAATCCATGGTCGCGTGGCGGTGGAAGTTCCGCAACCTTGAATTCCTGGATCTGACTGGCAATGATTTCAGCTCCAAGCCAGACTTCAAGGCCACAATGCTCAAGTGGTACCCAAAATTGCAGACTTTGAACAACGTCCAGGTTCGTACTGCAGAGGAGGTTGCCGCTCAGAAGAAGACCCCCATTCCTATCCAGGCACCCCACTTCCAAGATGATTCTCAAATCGCCGAGAATTTCATCCGAACCTTCTTCGCTAGTTACGACAATAACCGCAACGAACTCATCAACCAATTCTACGACGAAAACTCCAAGTTTTCTTTGAACGTCAACGTTCAAGCCCCCAAAGTTCAGCAAACCGAAACAGCTGGCTGGGATTCATACATCAAAAGGAGTAGGAATCTTTCCAAGATCACCCACTTGAGTGCTCGTATGAATCGCATCTATACTGGTCCCCAAAAAATCGGCGAGATGTGGAATAGTCTTCCTCAAACGCGTCACCCCGACATGGCTACCCACCCAGAACAGTTCCTGGTCGAGTGCCATCAAGTACCTGGTCTGCCCGACCCAACAGGACAGAGCCCTACCGGAGTTGGTGGCCTCATTATCACGGTACATGGAAAGTTTGACGAGAGCGTTGATGGCAAGGTTGAGACCCGCAGTTTCGACAGGAGCTTCATTATTGGTCCAGGAAATGGCCCCGGTGGTATTCGCGTCTTGAATGATATCTTGTGCGCTCGTGCCTACGGTGGCCACGAGGCATGGAGTCCTGAGAGCCAGCCCATTCCCCAAGCCATGGCTCCGATGCCCGCTATTGCCGCCAACCCTGCTGCTTCCCTTGCACCAGCTGCGGCGACGGCGCTACCCGGATTCCCCGAAGGATACGGTGCTCCCGCGCCTGGCAAAACTGACACTCAAGTTCAGCAAGAACAGCTCGTCATCCAGATCAGCACAAAATCCGGCATGACTCTTCAATACTCGGAGATGGCTCTCTCCGGTAATGGCTGGAATCTCGATGCGGCTTGGAAAAACTTTGAAGAACTCAAGGTAAGCAAAATAGACCGAACTCGTTATAAACAAGCGCATTTTCGATACTAACTTATTATCACAGGCGCAGGGAGCTTTACCCCCTACTGCTTTTCTCAATGGAGCTTAAATTCCATCCTCCGACTTCGATAATGCCCAACCACCAATCCCAATAAGAAACAAAATCCTAAAAAAATCCATCATTTTTCGCTAGCTTCCTGCGGAATATCTTTCTCGAAACACCATGGCCTGAAACTCTCGAGACCGCAACGGA